AAGGATAAAATGAATCTAGTGTTGACTTAGGAGAGATTTTTAAAAAGTACTCAAAATGAACATAATTCCCTTGGATATCTCCATTAAATGCAAGAAGATTCATGTCTACATTTTTAAAACGGGATGTTGGTACTTGAACCTTACATAAAAATAAAAAAATAAAAATCAATCAGACTGTATAATCAGACATAATCCCACATTCTCTCTGGTAACAGCACTAAGAAATTCCCTAGGCTGGCGGAAACCGGTTTGGCTCAATGGATAGAGCGTCAGCTTGGGGACCAAAAGGTCCCGGGTTCGATTCCGGTCAAGGGCATGTACCTTGGTTACGGGCATATCCCCAGTAGGGGGTGTGCAAGAGGCAGCTGATCGATGACTCTCTCTCATCGATGTTTCTAACTCTCTATCTCTCTCCCTTCCTCTCTGTACAAAAATCAATAATATATATATATATATATTTTAAAAAAGAAATTCCCTAGCCTAGTATGGTTGCCATTTATAATATCTATAATTACATTAAAGATATTCCTAATATTCTTAACCCGTTTGTTCTAAGTGAACAGAACTGAACTTGAATCTTGGTTTAGAGTCACATATCAGGCGACTAGAATAAGAAATCAACAAACATTTTCAAATATTATGGTACACTGCAATGGATGACGTGGATATGAAAACTTATCAAATAATGCAAAGACTTCAGTCAGAAGAGTTAAGTCTCACATGCCACTGCTGGATAGACGTCCTCCAACATGGACCAAAATGGGGACAAGTTGTGTTTTTCCGAGATCTGGTTGAGGAAGCAGAAATTGAGGCGCGGGGCCTGGGGGGGGGGGGGGGGTTCAAGTTCTGACCCCCTGACTCATCCCACATGCACATGAGGCCCCAGAACCCACAGCTGAGCTCACACCCCAGCCTCCTTGTGTGAACAGTCTGACCCTGACCGTGCCTTTGATCACCAAATCCCTTCAGCTGCCCTAACCACTTGCTGTTATTACTTCCATTGTGTGCTATTTTCTAATGCATCTCATTTTCACTTGCATTTTTGGCTACTATCTAATTCGCCTGGCTACGACTTGTATCTCTTGTTGTTGCATGCTCGTGGTAAAAATAAAATGCAGTAACAGTGAGAGGCATAGAGAGGAACACTTCCACAGATTTCCACCACACAGAAGGGCTGTGACAAGAGAGGGTAAGGCAGAACAGAGCAGGGGGCCCAGTGACGGGCCACCAGTCCCCATTTCAGTGCCCTTCATCAAGTCAGGGTCGTTCAGAAGGGGTGGGTCATGGGCTCAGGCAGAATGGTTAAATCCAGTGGCCACAACCAGAGAGAAAAGGCCCTGGACCTGGTCAGGGCATGACCGACACCACCAAATGCAAAGGGTTCCTCATGCACAAGAAGGGGCTTTGAGAGCGAATACCAGGAAAAACAAGGACTTGATGCCAATCCTAGGATTTAAGACAGAGGACCTCAGCACAGGATGAATCTCCCAGTCCCCACCCCTTTCTGCCCCATGGCCCTGCAGTGACAGGGACTGGATCTCCCAGCCCCCACCCTTCCCGCTGCCCTGATGCCCCCCGCAGTGACATAGTGGCCCTGCCTCACTTCCGTGCAGCTGGTACCCTTGTCCTGGCTGATATTTTTCCAACTGACAGTGAGTGTTGTTGCCAGATGCCCGGCCCCGTAGTCACATCTGCTCGCCTCTCCTCTGCAGCTTGTCAAGCTGCTTGGGAACTCGTTCTATCCAGGGGGCAGCTCTAACTGAAAAGCTTCTCTTTGTAAACACCTAGGCTGGAGAGATACGCTCCGATGTCTCCCCTTTAAGGTACTGTGTCTGACACGCTGCGCCATCCTCAGAGCCCAGGTCAGAAGCGAGGTTCTAGGCGAGATAGTTCTCCCTGGGACTTTCTCCTTCTGCCTCTTGTTTTTTTTTTTTTTGAGTTATTTTTTTCCTTTTGGATAGCATGCCAGTTTCCCACCACCACACTTTCTAAAGGGATAATGGGATACATGAGGGAAGTCTGTTTCAAAAGCAAAAAAGGTAACTTCTTTGTGAGCTCTGCTTTTCTCATATTTAGTAGGAAATTTAACAATGTGTGTATGGGAAATCATATTTCAGGTCCTAACTAAATGCCAGGGCTTCTTCCTTTATCCTCTCCACTTACATACTGTGTCTGTGACCCCCAGTGTTGGAGGCGTCAGTAGATATGGACTCATAAGACTTGGATTGGTCTGCCCTCTTCTCCATCGTAAGCCAATCCTCTGAACAAGGACACTGATAGGGTTGACTGGTAATTTCCATACGGCGCTTTACAAAAGGGTCTTAAACATTATTCTAGAGTGACTTTGGGTCTGTTGGTAGGACAAGGAGTTGTCATTTGTCAGAGCACCACAGCCAAACACAAACAGCAATGGCCAACTCTCGCCTCCATTCATAACCCAAGTGCTCAGCTTTGCCAAGGCAAACGACTCATTTAGACTAAAGCAACAGGCTGTCTCTGAGACATTCATTGATTTTAAATTAAATAATAACTGCTATGTTTTACATGAAAAGTGACAACTAAATTACAGTGTAGACCTTCCTTGGTGGTGGTTGTAGCATCTCCATCGAACCATCTTAGGGAAAGGGGGGGCTGGGGAGGGGAGAGGACAGCCTAAAGGGGGAATCTTCCCAATCAATAGTCTGGATCCCTCCCAGCCTGAGCAGGGAGTCAGTCCCTGACAATTCCTGGACTGCAGTGAGCTGTTCTTCTCCTGGCTCAGGTCTTCAGGTTCTAGAAAGAATGGTTTTCCTTTGCTTTCTGTTTTTTATAACTTGGAGTTGAGGTGATTTCTGGGAGGGTATTTTCTACAAGTATAGTCTTCCATGGAAGTACAGATTTATTTTTTCCCCCCAACCAAATGGGGGGTGGGGGGGGAGAAAGACACATTAAGAAGTAAAATATCTGGCAATAGTTAATGATGTCGGTTGTGCCTGCCACTGCCACCACTGTCCCCAATTACTCCGACCCTGTGTCTTCGGCTCCCTGCTCAGACTTAACTCTCCCAATAGGACTTGAACATTTCATTCTCTGGTATTTTCTGTATCCTCTCTTCTGCTCTCCGCATTTTCTCCACCACTATGGGGTCTTATGCTAAGTCAGGAGTAGATATTAATACTTGCTGAATCAGTGAACTCATTAATTTTGCATAAAAAGGATGTGTCTTTTCTGGTACTTTAATTGTTTCTTTTTAAAAAAATATATTTTATTGATTTTACACAGAGAGTAATTGAGAGGGATAGAGAGTTAGAAACATCGATGGGAGAGAAACATCCACCCCCTACTGGGGATGTGCCCGCAACCAAGGAATCGAACCCGGGACCTTTCAGTCCCTTGGCCTACGCTCTATCCACTGAGCCAAACCGGTCTCAGCTAATTGTTTATTTCTATGCTTCTTCTCTGATATTGTAATTTTATTTTAAATTTCTGTTTTTTTTTTAATTTTAAGTGTAGATGTGATCATAACCATTGATTTTCCTTATCCCTGTGAGCCATAGAGAGCACCACAAAGACCAACAAAAATGTTAGTTATGCATGTTAATGAACACTTTGACATATATGTGTGATAATATATTTCTGCAAAGTTAGTCATTAACTGAGTGAACTAATTTTTCAACCTATCTATTGAGCCAAACCAGCTAGGGCTTGAAATATTTAAATAATTATAATTAGTTATTCTGTTACAAAAAAACACTATGCACTCAATATAATGGAAAGGGAAACCAGACAAATGCCCATTTGCATCCTGTACTGATAGATTTTCAAGGTGTATTTCTTTGGTTGTGTATAGCCCCTTGAATTAGTCTGATCATTAATTGTACTTTACTTTGTACCTTACAGACAGAACTTACGTTTAATTTCATTCCATACCTCCCAAGGTTTCATAGTATTTAAACTCCTGAGTGCATCTGTATAAATATATATCTGGGTTCTTAACTGAATTGATATTTTGCTTTTAAGTTTTTCTCTAATAAGCTGGATGTTTTCATATTGGGCTCTATAAAACTTGAGGGTACTACTGCATATGTCTATGAATTACTAAAAGAGCGCATGCTTCCATTAATGAAACGCTTCCTTTATTTCTGCTTCATGACCTCCAGACACAGTCCCAAACCATGTCAGGGACTGAGATCCAGGAAGTGGACAGGTCCCTCTGTAGCTTGGAGAATCTGAAGACATTTCCATCCTTTCCATGTTGATATTACTTTGTCTTGGTTTCCAATGGGCGATTTCTGATTTCCCCAAATCTGTTTAATTCAGCAACCCACGATGAGGCAGAATCATCTAACTCTGACTAGTTCCAAGAATAGCAGAAGGTTCTCATATGCTGTGTCTTTCCGAATATGATCCAATACCCCATTAGCCTGCTCAGGAGCAGCAGACCGGCGTTAATGCATTCCCAGGATGTTGCTTCACCTAACTGGTAATTAACTGAGGAATTCTAATCATATGAATTATAAGGGAGAGCATCACTGTTTCCTTCTTCCTATTGAAAATGTTTTAAGAGAATTTGCTGCCGCATAATATCCTCCAAGAAATTGATCATACTTTTCCTGTAATAAATGTTGTTCTGACAGTAAAGCATTAGTAACCAATTGATAACCTAGCAACAATATTGTGATCTCTTTAGATAATTAATCTTCGCTATTTTCCTGTCAGAAGCCACGGCGCTGGATTTTATGTTGAGCCAGAAAGATTGCCAGTTTTGAAAATTAAAAAGCATTCCTTTTATATTATTCATTCCAGTAACAATTTATGGAGGCGCATTTAGCTGCTGAACGCTTGTCAACAAACGTAATTATGTTTCGATATAAACAAGATTGGTGGTTTTACGATGCCGCTCCATCTTGGTTGAGAACCTTTGGATTTAGGTTCAGATTGTACAAGCTGAGTGTTTGTGTATCGTGCTTTTTCTCCTTTGTTAATAGTTTGTTTGTTTTTTTTCTGATAATTGCTCCCAGGCAAACCAGTATGCATTTAGGATCATTGTGCATGGGAGACGTCAAACGGAGAAGGAAAGCAGCACCCTTGCCTGGGCCGCCTACAACAGGTAAAAGGAAGGGGGCAGAGCACACGGTTAAGGTTCATGAGTCATCAAGAATAAAATACTGATCATTCTTTTTTAAAATATATATATATTTTATTGATTTTTTTACAGAGAAGCAGGGAGAGAGATAGAAAGTTAGAAACATCCGTAAGAGAGAAACATCGATCAGCTGCCTCCTGCATGCCCCTCCTAGGGATGTGCCCACAACCAAGGTAAGTGCCCTTGACTGGAATCGAACCTGGGACCTTTCAGTCCGCAGGCCAATGCTCTATCTACTGAGCCAAACTGGTTTCGGCAAAATACTGATCATTCTTAATCACTGTGCCAAAGAAGAGGCACGGTTGCCAGCAATTGTTACATCATTTGTATTTGGTGTAAGATGGATGCACATTCCTTCTGTAGAGGTTTCAGGCAGCCCACCAATGAAGTTTTCACTATACACCTGCCCCCAATGCAGTGTTTGTGAGAGGTATTAAAGGGCACAGAATCTTCAAAGGCTGTATCTGTAGCCTCAAGAAATGTAGACTTGTTGTGGAACAGGGGGAGGGATGCATAAAAGGCAAATAAGCCCAGAAGAGATTAAGAGTAATAAACACAAAAGTTTAGGCTCTCTTAGATGGCATGGCTTGGTGGTAGAGCATTGACCTATGAACCAGAAGGTCATGGTTTGATTCTTGGTCAGGCAAATGCCAGGGTTGCTGGCTCAATGCCCAGTGGGGAGAGTGCAGGAGGCTGCTGATCAATGATACTCTCTCATCACTGATGTTTCTATCTCTCTCTCTTTCACACACACACACACACACACACACACACACACACACACACACACACACAGTTTAGGCTCAGCCTCCAAGTGCAAGTAGATGGGAAGCTGGCCATGACTGGGGCCGTCTGGTGTCTAGTCCCAGCTCGGCAGAGTCGTCATTCCTTATTAGACAACGTTCGCATCAGAATAAAACATCGTTCAGCATTTCCACCTGAAGAGCCATGTCATTGGAAGAGCATGTCATGCTAATGAGAGTGGCACAGGGAAACCACAAGTGCTGACAGAGAGAAGTCACTGGACCAGAGGGGACAGGGAGCCTTTCTTGAGGGGCAAGGACTCCAGCGTGGCTGAGGGAGAGGAGTAAGATGAGAATGTACTGCAGAAATCTCACGCAAGGGCAGTGGTAAGGGACCAGGGGAAGGGGGAGCTCACTGGGCATTAAGAAGTGGACGTCCACATTGGAATAAGCAGCAGTTGGCATGCATGTGATGCAGCCCGATGACCAAAAGAAAACATTTTCAGGGTAGATAGTCAGTTACAAAGAATAACAGCCTTGGTCTCTTGTATGGGGGTCCTCAACCATCCAGATTTATAAACATTCTCTTAACTTCATCTGGGAAAGCTTTTGTAGGAAAATTTACTTTTTTCACAATTAATTATAGACCATGAAAGATTCATGTGAATAGCAGAGTAAGCAGTGAGAAGGGGAAATAAATATATATAATATACATGCATATATATATGTATACACACACACACACACACACACACACACACACACACACACAATCTTGATATGGGGATTCTGAGGTGGGGGGAAAGATGTGAAACTTAAATTCTCTATTTAGGAGACCTATCCCATAGTTCACTAAAAAAAAAAAAAAAAAAGATAGAGTAATTTAAAATTACAGCACTCATTATCCAGTTTCCTCATCCATATAAAGGACTACATTATGAAATTATGCCTGTGGTTATAATATCTGATCTTCTAGTTGTATTGAATTTTCAGAAATTGGACATTGGGTACACCTGTGTGTAGAATGTGTTTCTTTTGATGTCGAATAATATTTACCACTGACTGGGTACCTACTGTTTATCAGAAACTTCATTATTTCATTTTATCTTGCAACCACTTTATGAGCTGGTCATTACTATCACTTTATGCCAGAAAATTAAAATTCACAGAGGTGTGAGGATCTTCTTCTCTATCTATGTTATTGATGGCAACGGGAGGTTTCGAGCCCACACCTGCATGACCACTAAACCCATGTTCTGTCTAGGACAACTTACTCAAGACCTTTTTGTAAGACTATATATGTGAAGTCGATCTCATTGCATATGCTTACTTGAACACACTAGTACATATCATAAGTTTCATAGAAGATTCATCTAAATATTGCTGTACAGAGATACAGAATATTAATTAGAACACTTCTAATATATATCTTTATGTGGGAACATACAGCCAACTTCAGATCAAACACGTCATAAGTTCTTCAGTTCAAATCTTTGATAGGCAGGTGCAGGCTTCTTAAAATGCCCTGTTCCATGGAATGGGCCCCTGAATTCTCTTGTCTTTCAGTGATTAGTGGCAGAGACAGAACAATCGTAGCAATGTGCATGCAGCACCTTCATGCCAGCAATAAGGAGCAGACAACACCTGGGTCATGCCTCACGCTCTCAGGGAGAAGGAAAATGTGCAGGGAGAAGGAAAATACAAAATGGTCGAGGAGGGTGATATAATTATTTCTGCGAGGTGGTTTTGATGTTACTATTCATAGTGCCAGAGGGAACCACTTATACGGAGTATGTGTTGAAAATTGTCAGAAAATTAAGCCCTTTCACTTTATAATCCCGGACATTAAACTTTAGCCTAAAACATTTAGAAGCTCACACCAGCATGTTCCAGATGTTATACCTCTAAACTGCTGTGATTTTCTTAAGATTCTGGATTTTTATTCTATTATTAGGTTTTTTTCCTTCAAATTTCCTTAAAGAATAAAACTCATAGAACTTTCTGTGATTATTCAAAAAGCAGTGGTGCAGGAGAACTGTGTCACACGTTTCCAGAACAGTCTCAAATCCATGCACACCAGTTCCTCTCAAAGATGAGGAGAGTGAGGTAATTTAAAAGATCTAAGCTTCTAAAAGAATTTCTTCCAATATTAATGAATCAACTACAAGGTGAAGACTATTATTCGAATTCAAGTAAGAAATGCTTTTGCATAAATACACTTTGATAATGAGGTCATGAATCTTAGATTGTCTTGTTTCTGAAATCGTCATTTTCAAATTCTGGAATATAGTCAGTCACATAATAAAGAGTCAGTTATATCTGTGCGCTTCCAAAGTTGAGTTAACAGATAGAATTAAAGATAATTTTTTCACCTTTTCATAGGCCCTTTGTAGACCTCTCAGAAAACACATTGAATTGAAATATGTTTTTCACAATTCCTGCCTTTAAATCAACATTGCATCTAAGCAGGAAAAAAGCAGGTGAAGATCACTCTCATTTATAATATGGAAGAAGAGCTAAAAGCCTGTCAGCTTGCACATTGTTTGATGATTCCCTCTGATTTACATGTGAACTATTATGCAGTCAAACAGCAGGTTAAGAAAAGATTTACTAAAAGAATTATCAGAAAAATCAGGCGCTTTCACTTTATAATTCCAAACTGGGTTAAACACAATAATTTAGGATCCTAAATATAAAGTTGTACGTTGTGTACATAGTAAGTATTATTTTTTAAAAAGACTTAAAGTCTTTTATGAAATTAATAACCCAAAATGCGATCATCTTTCCCTGCTTACTGTGTTGAAAATTGTGCTCACCCCATCTTAGCAGCAGCATGAAGCTTAAGCTCATGGCTTCATAAGGCTGTGCACTAGCCAGCAGCATTATCGCTTGAATATTTATTAATTGTGACAGGAACACCAAGTTTATTTCAGTGCTTGAGCTTATTTACTGCTCCTTCACCTTTGTAGTTTGTATTGACAAAGCAAAATGAATATTGATAAGGCTGGGTATTGATTTTTTTAAATGTATGGCTTGTTCCCTGTCTCATTCAAAGTCACACAGGCAGAGACACGGTGGGTGTCGCCGTGGCAAGGATGTAGAGTTACTATTCTAAAATTGAGAACTGTTGAAGCAGGAAGGCTTGCCAGCAGAATGCATTTTATTGTTTGAAAAATGTCATCTGTAAAGGTGAAGAAAAGCAGTGAACAAAATAGTAGGAATACTATTAACGCATTTTTAAAAGGCAGACAGCAGTTCTGGTTACGGTCTGTGTTTGTGGTAGAAGTCACAGCTTATTGAGGGTTTGAAAATTAAAAGATGTAAATATGCTTATTGCTATTATGGCTATCATCTTTTTTAAATGTTTTGTCCACTACACATTACTGAACTCATTGTTGTCAAAATGCTGTTATTATTTTGATTTCTAGTGAAATAATGTCATAGGGAAAATAGTCACCAGAGGAATCAGTCTTTTTTCTGTACATTTCAAATTATACAAAAAGATACCTATTCAAGTTTAATACTCAGTCTAGAGATTGTTCCAATGTAACAGTGTTTGTTTGGTTTAAATTTATTCTTATTGTTGAAAGTATTACAGATGTCCCCTTTTCCCCCCGTTTGTCCCCTTGCACCTCACTCCTGGCCCCTCCCCAGGCCCATGGGTTATGCCTATGTGCATACAATTTCCCTGTTTAATCTCTTCCCACTCCCCAGTGTGTGAGATCATGTGATACTGGCATATTTCACTCAGCATAACCAGTGTTTTTAGGAACATGCAAGTTCTTGGCAAGAGGCTGCATTACAGCTTTAGTGACTTTTCAACGATTTCCTTTCATTCTACTGAAAGTTTAATCCTACATAATAAAAGACCAATATGCAAATCAACCAAACAGGGGAACAAACAGTCACTATGATTGACCACCAGGAGGCAGAGGCTCAACACAGGAGCTGCCACTGGTGATCAGTGCTCTCGCTAAGGAGCAGCAAGCAGGCAGGTGGTAAAAAGTGAGGAGCTGAGGGATTTCCCCCCAATATACAAGTTTTTTAAAATATATTTTATTGATTTCTTACAGAGGAAGAGAGAGGGATAGAGAGTTAGAAACATCGATGAGAGAGAATCATCTATTAGCTGCCTCCTGCACACCCCTTACGGGGGATGTGCCCGCAACTAATGTACATTCCCTTGACCGGAATTGAACCCGGGACCTTTCAGTCCGCAAGCCGAAGCTCTATCCAATGAGCCAAACTGGTCCCTGCCCAATATACAAAATTTCATACACAGGCGTCTAGTAACAAAATAACCTTCCTGAATACTTAAGGCACTAAAGGCAGGTTGTAAATTATAGTAATGGCTGAAGATTTTTAAACATTGCACTTTTTATTAAAAGTCGCCCTGAACAGTGTGGGTCAGTGGTTGAGCATCCAACTATTAACCATGTTCGTAATTTTTTAAAACGAAATAATAAAAATATTCGACAGGGTAGTAACACCTACCACTTTCTGTACTTAACGCTGCTGCTTTTCTTTCTTTTTTTTTTTTTTAACAGTCATCAAAACCTCTGATCCTAAGTGAGTTACTGAAAACTACAGGGCAGTTTAATAACTTAGTGGTTTAATAGCATCACTAGTAATAACAATAGCCCTGGCCCTGGGCTGGCTAGTCAAGTGCGGGGGGAAGGATGGGGAGACAGTGGGTGTGGACCACTGAATGCTTGCCAAGCTCAGGACAGGGATGGAAAGGGGCACACGAGACTATGTGGGATGCAGTACGTCACCTCCCCTTTCCACCGGCTGTTTATCCAACATCAATACAACACTTTAGGAGCCAAATTACTAAACAAGCTGCCAATTAGGCTTGCAGTCAGCTGGACAGATTAGCAGCGAGGAGAGGCCGGTACAAGATTTTCATCTCTTGAGCCAATTACGCAAGTGAATTACCAGCCGCAGTAGTTTTTGGAAGATGCGAGGGGAGAGGACCAAACGGGCCATAATAGATACAAGGGCTCCAGCATCAGGCGGGCTTGGGAGGGAGTGCGTGGAAGGTTATTGCTGAAATTGCCCTAGCGGGAGGAGCGCCTTCCAGGGAAGGACTTAAAGGATTTAGCGCTGCCAGGAGCAAAAGACAAGGAAATTGTGGTGGTGGTGGTGTGCTGAGCGGAGACTGAGCGGTGCCCTCCCATGCCTTAATCTCAAAAAAAAAAAAAAAAGGATGGGAAACCAACAGTATATTTTATTTTAGAATCAAAATATCTCTCTATTGTTTGGGTGGGGTTTTTGTTTTTTTTTAAAGGTTGTATGGAAAAGCCATTGCTTTTTTGTTTTGTTTTTGCTTTTTTTATGAATCTTTGTTTCTACATGGAAAGATTTAGCACTGGAGACATTTAATAGTTTCCTTTTTGTTTGTTTTTCTTAAAGCACAAGATAATGCTTTGTTTGTTTTATTTTCATTAAAGATTGCAACTAGCGTTTTTAAAAAGAGAGGGAACGGATTCCTTTTCACCTACATGAAAGCACAGCACTCTTGGGCCCCTATCCTGGAAATATCAATGTTTTAAAATCATGATAGTGAATCAGTTTTCCTTTGCTCTTCACTTGAGAACAGAAATGTGTCACACTTTAGCAGTTTTTGCAGGGACATTTTGAATTGGCCTTATTTATCTGAGATTTTGCAACCTCCTATATTAAAAATATGATTAGTCGAAACCAGTTTGGCTCAGTGGTAGAGCGTCAGTCTGCTGACTGAAAGGTCGCAGGTTCGATTCCAGTCAAGGGCATGTACATTGGTTGCGGGCACATCCCCAGTAGGGGGTGTGCAAGAGGCAGCTGGTTGATGTTTCTCTCTCATCGACCTTTCTAGCTCTCTATCCCTCTCTCCTCCTCTCTGTAAAAAATCAATAAAATATATTAAAAATAAAAATATGATTAAACAAATCTGCAGCCTAGAGCAGCATTAGACTTCAGATCCGATTATTAGCTTATACATTGAAATAAATTAATTCATAACTATCACTTAAAAACATCAGGGCTATGGGAGAGAATACTTATGTACTGTTTAACTGAAAATACTGGTCAGTAGCTGTTCAGTAAAAAATTAAAGAGACCTTGGAGATCTGTCTTGGTTACCACCATAATCATAATTTCAAAATAAAAGTGTCTTTTTAAATGTTTTTCTTTTCTTTTTCATTGAACATATTGGGGTGACATCTGTATGTATAAAAGGCTAATATGCTAAGTGTCCATCCAACCGGTCACTATGACACATACTGACCATCAGAGGGATCAGGATCTGCAATGATGTGCACTGGCCATTTATAGGGAAACCACACTGTAGACCTGGTTCCCGCAAAGCAACACTCAACTTCCCCCAAGTGGGATGACAGAGGACCCACCACCACCCTGGAGCAGGCACCAAATCACAGCCCACACTGCCCAGACCCCATGGTGCAAAATGAGGCCCACATCCTAGCCCAACCCAGAAATGGTGGCTGTGGGTGCCGGGTAATGAGGTCACATAGCAACACCCAGCTTCCTCTCCCTAGTGACTAGCCTCCTTAGAGTTTCTTCAGCCCAGAAACACAACTTGTTTAATAGCCAGGTGGAAACATTTTACACTTTGACCAAATGTCTGTGAAGCATTTTCCTGTGCCTCATCTTATTTGATCCTCACAGAAGTCCTGGAGTAGGTAGATAGCAGACTTGGTGGAATCCTATTTTCTTTTCATTAGCCAAAAAACAGAGATTTAGAAAGTTTAAAAAAACTTGACCTGACTGAAAAGTAGTAAGATATGGTGGACCTTGAAAATGACTTCAGGTTTTCTCATGGTTTAGAATATGGTCAAACACTGCCACAGTTAAATATTTTACCCTTTGTTCTCCCTGAGTGATCTATCATACAATAATAATCTGCTTCAGGTGGATATTTACTGCTGTGTTTCTGATAATTATCTGAAAGAGAAGTTGGGGTGCTTCATTGGGCTGGAGAAAGTTTGGCTAAATCAGAAAGCAGGTCTAATTAAGGAAGTTATATCTATATATATAAAGCTCTTGCTGGTGCCAATCACACACATGTGTTTCGATCTGTCATTGTGGATCATGAATTTGGTTGACACTTCTATTGTAGAGAAAGGGCAAATAGTGATATTAAAATACTTCTTCTAATTAATTTGCTTTCAATGTGCATGAATCCACGCACTGGGCCACTAGTTAGTTATTAAAATTACATAGGTTTCGGATGTATTAGATAAGTATTTTGACACAAGGCTTTTTTTTTTTTTTGTAAGTAAGAGATTCCCTCCCAGGTGCCTCTATGAAAGAAAAACTGAAGAGAATGGTTTTCTTGGCCCGAGAGGACCTTCGCCTGTGTCAGAACTAACAGCCTTTGTCATTTTACCTTTTCAGGATTCGTTGGAGAAAACGCCCAGCCCATCTCAGAAAACAACATAGGGAACCGCATGCTCCAGAATATGGGCTGGACACCTGGCTCGGGCCTCGGACGTGATGGCAAGGGACTGGCCGAGCCCATTCAAGCCATGCAGAGGCCAAAGGGATTGGGACTTGGATTTCCGCTACCAAATAGCACTTCCGCAGCCCCCAGCACCCCGATCCCCGCCGCGGGGACATCCGCCTGAGAAGAAACCCTTCACAGTTTTGCTTCGCTTGCTCTGTGTCCCATTGTTCTGAGATTACAGCACAGCTTCTGTTCATGGAGCACAAACCGGCAAGGCCTCAGACCTGTCACCCCAGCTTCCTCACCGCATCCAGTCCTACCAGCAACGACAGAGTTGCGCTTTCATCACAGCTCATGGTGCTCAAGTTCAAACCATCCCTTTAACGTTGCCAGCAACTTTCGGCTGTTTTTAGGTATAAAGAACAAATCATTCCTCTTATTTATTTTGATCGCAAATGTCAGTAATGGTTGATGCTTTTAAGCTTCATTCATTCACGTGTGTGTGTGTGTGTGTGTGTGTGTGTGTGTGTGTGTGGGTGGTCCGGGCAAATGTGAGCGCATCCAAGGGTTCTAAAATGGGATAGGCCAGGGAGGCTGTGTCTCATGTCACCCTGATTGAGGGTGACTCAGCAGATCCATCAGTGAGGTTCTAAGTGAATCTGTGATTGGAAGATGTGTCAGTTCCATATTTGCTGAGTTTGGCATTTGTGAGTTAGTCCGTGTGTGTGTGAGGATTCTTTAATGGAGAAATACCCATTTGTCTTCTAACCTTGGACAGTGTAGTGTGAAGTTCACAGCTGACCAACTGCAATGAACGTATCCCTCTGATGTTTTGACAAAAATAAACCTCATCCCTATTATCACCAGAGTGCCCTCAACATTACTTTAGTGCGTGTTTATAAATTTTACCTCATTTAGAACATAAAGTAATTATTGAAAGAAAAAATGTATTTTTAAATTCATCCTGATTGAACTATAAATTCTATTCATCTAGACTGACTTCTACCTCTCTCTTCCCAAAGGTTGATTTTTTTTTTTAAAAGATCAACTCAACTGTAGTAAACTAATTTTAAGATGTAACCATTGCTGCAAGTTAGAATATTGAACCCATTTATTTGAAGATATAAATGGCTCTCCCAAGAATTCAAATTTCAGGCAATGAGCCAACCCATTTACAAGGTGAACAAAAATGAATGGAACTGACTTGCCCTTTTCACATCGTAGCAGTTTCTTTAAAACCAAGCAAAGCAAGTCATTTTTATTATGTGCCTGGTAGTCTTATGTCTGAATCACCTGCTTCATAATGCTAGAGATTCAAACTGCTCCTTAGTTTAGAAGATGCCGATTTGTCATCTCCTGCATTGGTAATGACCAATAATAATATTCTATTTGTAATGGCTTTTATTGGTTAAGTAAAAACCAAGATCACACATGTGAATCACCTTGCTAGAGGTTTTGTTTTTTGTTTTTAAGGTCTTGATGTTTTAGGTTCACTGCCAAATGAAGGTAAAGGTACAGAGATTTCTCATAGATACCTCTACCCCCACATATGCCCAGTTTCGCCCGTTATCAACATCCCTGACATGAATGGTACCTTTGTTACAGCAGAGGAACCTACCCTGATACATCACCATCGCCCAGTTCACATTACAGTTCACTCTTGGTGCTGCACGTTCTATGGACTTGGACAAATGTATAATGACATTATAGCACCATACAGAGTAGTTTTACTATCCTAAAAGTTCTCTGTGTTCTACTCTAATAGGTTGTTGAAAATCTGTAAATTCCCAAGAGATTTTTAAAGGAGGGAGAGGGTTTTTTGTGTGTCATAGACCTTATAGGAGTGGTACCCAAAGAAAACACCGCCAATTAGGGAGAGGAAGTCCAGCCTGCCCTTGGAAAGCCTGATAATTTGCCAAATGTACATATTTTGTAAGCATCATCTTCTCTCTTAGGGGTACTGTGGTAAGAGGACAGTTTGACTTGAGGAACTATGGGCTGCCAGGGGAGTTGATCTTTGGAAGCATTCTTATTGGGTGAAATAACTGCTATTTTTGTACAAGCTTGGTACTTAGAAAACTGTCATTTTTAAAGAGTGCTCTTGTGAAATACTCCTCTTGGATGTAAAGGGGGAAAGCTGGGAAAGATTGTCCAGAAGTAGCCTAAAGACTTCTTTAAATCCCAGTATTTTCTGAAGATCTTAAGCTCTTCTAAAATCCTGGCACTTTGAAAATCCAAACTGGGAGCCACTGATGCACACACAGTAAGGTTATCACAGGACTGGCCCCAGACACCTGTGAATGTGGCGGGTCCTTTCACTTCATCTGCTCTAACTCCTAAGGGAAGAGCGGACCATTCACAAGTGGCCTGGAAGCTCCTGAGGTAAAGATTGCAGCCTTCGTGCATGCTTCTTACTGTCTTTTCTACTGTCTTAATCTTCTAGATGCTCCCTTAACCTGGGTGTGGTCCTCTAACACCCCTCTTCTCCCCTCCCCCCCAACCATAAAAATCCATCTTTATTGGTTCCGCTGATAGGAGAAAGGGCTTACTCTTGGCTTCTAGCGCCCTCTGTGTGGCTCGCTGAGGACTTAAAATAGTTTCTCTTCCGTGGAAGAGCTTAACTACATGGAATCCATGAATCCACACCCAGAGTAGACAAGTGGTGATGTCCAGGAGTCTTCCCCCACCAAATCCGCCCTTCCCCGCCCCATTTCTGCTCTCACAAACATTCACCAGAAGCGCACACGTCCCTGCACCATTGGGTCCTTAAGGAATAGCAATGCAGACACATGATATCCTGCCTGTACCTGATCTTACTGGGAGAAGTAAGCACAACTTAAAAATGGGACTTTTCATATAAATCCAGAATCTTTTAAGATATAAAGTCCACTAGTTTATTTATGTTTTATATATAGTTATAGTTCACTTTTTACCAGTTACTATGCCTAGGGAACCCAAAGCGCCCAAAGCAATTTATAATGAAGAACGTTTCATCCATATCTCCTTACAAAGGTGGTGAGATTTTTCGCTGCTCCTCCTTAAAGCTGCTCTTCTACAGTAGCCAAAGCTTCCCATCACACTAATTGGTTGTGCTAAAAATTTTAGGGAGCCCATCGGTTTCTCCCGTTACTGTCCAAATTGTCTATTCCCCAGCAGTAGCCAAGAGAGGCTGAGCATGAATTAGCAATTCAACTTTTTGTCTTTATGTACTTACTATTATAGTAGCCCTGCACACAAATCTGTGTGCCAGTAGCTTGCTGCTGCCCTCCTGTAGTTCTCCGCCCACTGACCCGCCCTTCTATAGCTCCCTCCCCCACCTCCCCTCATAGCCTGCTGCCCTGTCCCTTCCTGTAGCTCTCATCCCATCCTCCTGCTGATCCGTGATCCAGTCGTTATGCAGTTGGTCGTTACTTCAAGGTGTACTGACCATTTGCATATTACATCCTTATTATAAAGCATTATACTTGATACTGGCCAGCCTGTGTGCTGAGGTCATTCCCTCCCTCCCTTTTTCTTTCTCCTCTCTTCCTTCCTCTTCCTTCCTCCCTTCCTTCTCTCCCTCCTTCCTTCTTTTTTTCCTTCCCTCTTTTCCTTTCCTCAAATTTACTTGTTAAGGCTATATTCCCCTTAGATTTGTTGGTTTTCATGATTAAATTATATGGTACCCTTTTAAAAGAAATTCCACTGCTAACTAGAATTTAACCAATTAGTTGGGCTCAGCTTTTGAATACACATATTTTTATAATTCGTTTTGTGGCTATTAAAGAGAAGACAATAGGGTTAAAGATAAACATAATGTATACATATGTGTGTGTTGACAGCACGCGTATGCAATATACAGACATAATTGCAAAACACTGCATCTTATTAATGTCTGTTTTAACATTGTGAATTGATACTCTTGTAATTAATTGAACTGACAATTGCTTCTCTTCAATATATTTTCATTTTGAGCAGATGTCTCATAAAAGAGAAAAATAACTGTTGACATGCTTTTAAAAACCATTGCTTCCTGTACATTTTCTTTTTTAAAAAGATTATGTAAATTGGTATTGTAAAATTGGTATGTAAAGTTGTTTAGCAAGGAATATTTTGGATTTTTATTTTATTTTATTTTGGTAGAAAGCTATATTAATAGTACAACAAAGAACCGAAGAATAAACTTAATGTTTAAGAATGTTATTTATAAGAAGTCATTGTCTTTGTGCTTTGTTTCCCTCTAAAAGTAATAAAAAACAAAGTTGAAAATACTTTAAATTGCTTTTTAAATTGCTACCCATTTACCATTAACGTCCAACGATGCATTTAAATTCATTGTTCATCTTTAAGCCCTGAAAAATGTCTGTTTTTAAAAAAAGTTTTAGATAAAAACATGGCTAAACAAATGTTTGACTTCCATTTCTTCTCAGCATTTCAGGACCTGTTTCTACCACATATTTGTCCTGTTTTTGTTTGTTTTCTCTGAAGCTGGGCTAGACTGACTAGCTGACTTAGGTCTCCATCCACTCAAAGATTCTAGGATTTCAAATAGCAAGCACAGGTTCTCTCTCTGGCCACTTGAAACATCACAAGCCACTCCATTTCCTTCTGGAAAATTACGTTTCTCATAAACATGCTTGGATATTTTAAATATTTTATAACACTCACCACAGCGTTGAGTTCTGTTTGCTGTAGGAAGCATCTCACTTGTGACGATAACATTTTATCTTTTCTCCCTAAAAAAACGAAGTAGATCTTGTTAGAGTAAGTGGGTTTCTTTGTAATCCAATAGGTATTAAATACTCATTTATTTAACAGGCTTGCAGTAATATATACTCAACTGCCAAGCGGACCATGAAGGCTCCTTCTGCTGGGGCCTACTTAGCGAAGACTCATTACTTGGCTCACCTGACATTTTAAGTAGATCCAGATTTGTCTCCAGTGAGTCAGTGCCACTGACTGCCAGCGGCATGATGGACTATTTTCACTTTGGGTTTTATCTGTACATTAGGGCTGTCTTCCATCTCTGAATTGTCAGACAGTTTAAATCTTTCTCACATTCACAGACCCCACTCCTGAAACATCACCCACATGTCCTGTGCTTCCTCCTTAGTCCTTAGTCTCTCAAGGATGGAATTAGGGAGCAAGTGAAGGCTTGTTTAGTTTGTAGGTGTTGTGTGTGTGTGTGTGTATGTGTGTGTG